AACATTACTTCTCACGAGGGGCGACTACAGTAATGGGATCCTTGATTTTTATTGAAGTTATTGAATCTAAATGAGATAAAAATTAAAGGAGTTGAAAATTTATTCTAACTTAAAAAGAATTAAGAAAAAAATGCTAAAAATTTATCTCATTTTTAATATACGTTTGAAGCTTGGAGTATTTATATAGGTATAGTCATTTTCACCATGACAAGTCCAGATGTAAAATTTTTTTTTCAAATTAAAGTATATTACATAAGCTTTAACTTGAGGTATATATATACCTATGGCAATTTAAGTAAAAAAAATTAAAAAATGTCGAAAATTAGCAATTTTTAAATTTGTAATTTTTTGAGGGATTTCCCCGTTTACGGGAAACGAGGGATTTTTTTTTCAATTTTTGAGTTTAATGACTTCGACTAGATCCGATTTATGATCTTTTGATGTATTATTCATCAAAATTAGTCCAGCGAGAGCTGAGATTGAGCGTTCACAGACACAAAAAAAAAAACGGTAGCACAGTGGGGTCGAGGCACAGTATAGACGTGGCATAGATGAGATAAGTATAGATGATATCTGACAGTGATTAAAATCACTATCATAAGAAACGCTTCGATGCAAATCTGTAGATAGTGTTTCATTTAGAGAAATTGGTGGATTATTCCAAAAGGAACATCAACTCTTATTTCTTTAATTATATCCTGATTAGCAGTTCTTTGATTTTAAAATATAATATATGAATAAATACTAACTAATTATAAAAACTAATTATAGTTTTTAAATTCAGTATGAAATTGTGAGGCCAGCTATGATCTATAAAAAGCAACCGTAATATGAAAAAAATGGAATATAAATTTTAGTACTCACATTAAATGTAATGTAACTCGAAAAATGTTTGTTTAAATGAAAAAATATAAGATAATTTTTTTGTTTATAATTGTCTTTTAAACAACTTTTGTACGAAACTTTTTTTTGTAAGTTAAATATTTTTTGAGAAAATTAAAAAAGCTCATATTTTTGAACTTTTGCGAGGCTGTAAAAAAAAGCTCAATTTCAATCAATGAAGACTATTAGTATGTCATTATACATATTTTAATTCAACTATTAATAAAACAAAATTTGGTTGGGAATTTTTTAAGAAATTTTTCCTTTGTTGACTGGCCTAGATGTCAATTTTAAATTTGTAATTGAGCTAAAAGTTATGGTAATATATTCAATTTTTTTTGCTATAAACTTTCATAAATCTTTATCAAAAATTGTTCATAAATTTTAAAGAACCAAAAAAATAGGTTAAAAATGAAAATTTGGATTGATCATTTTTAACATATTAAAAATCAAATCAGTAATAAATTGAAAACAATTCTTTTTTTCTTTTAATTATTTTTATATGTAATTAGTAATAATATAAAAAAAATAAAGAACTGATAGATAAAGTCTAATTGCAGATTTGAAAACAACGCGAAACTTTGATTTAAAAAAGTATATTTTTGTTTCTGATGAAAGTTCCTTGAAGTACAGTGCATTCATTTATAGTAACAAACAGTTTTTATTGAAAATTATTGTATTAAGCCCTTTAAATTTTTATACACGTAAAAATAAAGCAAAATACAACTTCTTTATTATTTTTATAATTTCTCCGTTTAAATTACAATATTAAATTATTGAATATCAATTTCATACTAAATTTAATAATTATAATTAGTATTTATTCATATATTATATTTTAAAATCAAAGAACTACTAATCAGGATATAATTAAAGAAATAAGAGTTGATGTTGCTTTTAGAATAATCCACCAATTGCCTAATTAAAACAAAGAAAAAAAAATTGGTTGAGAATTTTTTCTGCTATTCTCCAAAATTAATCCTTCGTTGACTAGAATGAATCATTAAATAGAAAATTTTATGAGAATTAAAACTATGCTATTTTTAAGACTAATATGCAGTCAGGAAATTTTATAATTACTATTTACAGTATATTTATCAGAAAAACTCATTATTTTTTTGTATTTTTATCGTAATAGAACACCTAAATAGAAATCATAGTAATCATTTCTAAGTAATTTTTAGTATTTAAAAAGATTCTACAATTGAAATATCCAGAACTGAATTAATTTTAATGATTTACTTTAGCTAAAAAAAAAGAAAGTTATAATTTTGAATCCCACTTGTGGGCAGGTAAAGAGTTAGATTTATAAAAAAAACAAATGATAAGTAAAGACATGCATCTAAATAAAAAAAAAATTATACTGATTTGGTCATTTTTGTTAAAGTTATAACAGTTAACAAAGTTATAAGTTTTATACACTGGACTACAAGGAACTTTCATCAGAAACAAAAATATACTATTCAAAATCAACTTTTCGCAATGTTTTCAAATGTGCAATTAGACTTTTTCTATCACTTCTATGTTTTAATATTATTAAAAAATAGTATTTGCATATAAAAAAATTTGTAGATAATATTTAATTTTAACAAATTAATGAATTTTTTGTCACTTATGAATAAATATACTGGACTACAAGAAACATTCATCAGTATCAAAAATATACTTTTTTAAATCAACTTTTCGCGCCGTTTTCAAATCTAAAATTAGACTTTTTCTATCACTTCTAATTTTTGATATTATTACTAACTAGTAAAAAATGAGTATTAGCAGTATCTAGTAGTAGCACACACAAATAGAGTAAAAAAATTATTAAATTACAAAGTAAAATGATTTAATTTTGTAGTTGAAACCTATCATATCAAACTTGATTCGTCAATAAATACTTTGAAACATTAGAAATTAATGATTTTAATTGTTTGTATGGAGGAAATGGAATAACTAACTGTTTAATTGATAAATTAAAATTTTTTTTCAATTTTTGAGGGTAATATCTTCAACCTAGATACGAATTGTAGTCATTTGACGTATCGTTGAAAAAAATAAATAAAAAATTTGTTACTTATGAATAAATACACTGGACTACAAGAAACTTTCATCAGAAGCAAAAATTTACTTTTCTAAATCAACTTCTCGCGTTGTTTTCAAATCTGCAATTAGACTTTTTCTATCAGTTATACATTTTTATATTATACTAATTACATATGAAATAATAATTAAAAAAAAAAAAAAATTGTTTTCAAATTATTACTGATTTGATTTTTAATATGTTAAAAATATGCAGTCAGGAAATTTTATAATTACTATTTATAGTAAATTTATCAGAGTAACTCAATATTTTTTTGCATTTTTATCGTAATAGATAACTTAAATAGAAATAATAGTAATCATTTCGTAGTATCTTTTGGTGTTTAAGAAGATACTACAATTAAAATATGAACCGAATTAATTTAAATGTTTTACTTTAACTAAAATAACCAATAAATGATACGAATTGTAGTAATTTGACGTATTGNAACTAGATACGAATTGTAGTAATTTGACGTATTGTTGAAAAAAGTAGGTCAAGTTAGAGCAGAGAAAATAAATGATAGTCACAAAAAAATATCTTCTCAGCTTTGCATCGAAGCGAAAACTTAAAATATAGTAAAATAATTTTAATACGAATAAGAAATTTCTTCTTGCAAGGGGCGACTAAAGTGATGGGATCCTTGATCTTTATTGAAGTTATTGAATCTAAATGTGATAAAAATCAAACGAGTTAAAAATTTTTAACTCGTTTGATTTTTATCACATTTAGATTCAATAATATACTAACTTAAAAAGAATTAAGAAAAAATGCAAAAAATTCATTGCCATACGCGGGTTGGAACCTCGTACCCCGTGAAGACAAATCCAGAGGTCACATTTTTTTTTTTTAAATTAAAGTATATTATATAAGCTTTAATTTAAGATATATATAAAAGTGTCAGTATTTCCGGAATACTTTCAAAAATTAAATTGAAAATATCATAGTAACAATACGCATGATTAATAATGTAATGTCTTCAACTAGATACGATTTGTGATCTTTTGACATATTTTTCATCAAAATCGGTTCAGTGAGAGCTGAGATTGAGCGTATACAGACAAAAAAAAAAAAAAAAAAAACACATCATAGTAAAATTAATACCTTCTTAACTTCGCATCGAAGCTAAAATACACAAAAAAATCGGTAGCACAATGGGGTCGCGGCACAGCATGGAAATGGCATAGTTGGAACAAGTATAGATGATATCTGACAGTGATTAAAATTACTATCATAAGAAAAGCTTCGATGCAAATCTGTAGATAGTGTTTAATTTTAAGAAATTGGTAGATTATTTCAAAAGCAACAATAACTCTTATTCCCTTAATTTTATCCCGATTTATTATGGCAATTTTTAGGAAAAAAATGTCGAAATTAACCGATTCTAAAAATCTTAATTTTTTGGCGAATTTTCACTATTTACGGGGAACGAGTGTAAAATTTTCAATTTTTGAGGGTAATGTTTTCAACTAGATACGATTTTTGATCTTTCAACGTATTATAAATCGGTCAAGTGAGAGCTGAAAAAAAGTGGTAACAGACACAAAAAAATACATTGTAAAATTAATATCTTCTCTGCTTCGCATTTAAGTTACAATCGATTATCTTTATATATATTTAGTTAAATATTTAGGGGATTAGAATGATTCTATATAAATTGACCTAGCGGGTTTATTTACAAAATGTTCAAAAAGTAAGGGAACACTATACATATGTTTAGTAAGTAAGAAAGCAGGTTAATTATTATTAACAATGAGAATGATAGAAACCCTATTCGTTACTTATTAAACACTCTGTATAATAACTATACAAATAAAATTTTGATTTATTAATTTTGGCTATTATTATTTCTGGTGGATTAAGCCTCACCTCCTATGATTATCTTACATTATTTAACTTAGATTTTTGATGTATTAATACAATAATAGTTATTAATTTAATGTTAAAAGTGTTAACTGTATAAAATTAAAACTGATACAAAAAATTTAATGTTATTCTATTGATCACACTGTCTTGACAGCTGCTACATTTAACAGAAATACTATTACTGGCCCGGTAGCAATGGCGGTTAATTCGTTTGCTTATGATTAAACCGTTGACCGATGGACGTTTGTTAGACCGACAAAAAATCACTTACTATCAATATTGTTCAGGTGAAATTATTTTATAATTGTGCGTCAGATTGACATTGATAGTTGATGTGTACATAGTTTTTGTTGTATTACCCTTACTCGTGGTTTGCATTTTACATCGGATTGTTGTGTTTTCATCTTTAACTTTTGAGGACGTAAGTTTGCGATTAAGATTCTAACTTAGCTTGTATAATGACATCGTACAAGTTTATATTATGAACTTGTATCGTGCTTCTATCTGATGATGTTGGTTGGATATACTGTATTGTTCACTTTTTATTTATTGACGTTAAAATATATCCAATCTTTTTCCTGGCGTGCGCTGTTATTAATTTAACAGCGTGTCTGCCCAGTGTTTTAGTTATCATTAATCCAGACTTGTAACACTGACATTCATTGCTTTTGAAAAGTTAAGACTGATGATATTTGACTCATAAAGTTCATTGAATAACGACGTTGCTATGGTGGTCAAAAAAGAATCTGGGTAAGGGGTTCATATTTACGAACCATTTGTTATTTTTATTGTTATTTGTTTTTGTAACATCAAAGAAAATTAACTTATTAAAGTACAACTTAGCAGTAAATTATAATAATAATGGCGAGTTCTTTAATTAAATACTTTATTTATGTTTTAATATATTTTTATCTAAGGTTTTATTATTCTTGGGACATAAAATCCTTAATTGTTATCAATTATAAAGTAAGTTAGTTTGAATTTATTTTTATTTTTAAATAAGTAAATTAAATATTGTAATGTATTATGGTTTATTAGTAAGCATTAAAAAAATATGAATATTAACTTAGTGCTGTTATTGATTTAATAGTATAAAATTATTTCTCAAAGCTATTATATTGTAAGTATTTGATCAGTATTTAGTAGACAATCAAGAATGAATCTCTGGATATACAGAGACAATAATAAAAATAAGAAATTAAAAACAACTTTGGTGTTAAAAATGTTTGTTTGCCAATTTTTGATTCCTTCAGGGGTTGCACCCCTGAATTAAGATTTTTGGTTGCCTATTGCTGATCCCTGATCTATAATTCATTTATTTATAGTATTAGTACTTTATTTTGAAAATCGGTTTTTTAATCATTTTCAGGACCTTAGTTTTAATTAATTCTAAAAAAATAAGAATTGAGTAAATAATGTATAAAATGTTCAGTTAGTAATGAAAATGGTTTCTATTGTTTGTAAAACCTTATTTTCTATTTCTTATTGTTTTTCCTTTTTTTTAATTAAGTTTACAGTTTAAATTATTATACTTTTTTTTTCAGGGTATACTCTACTCAAATAGGACGTTGGTCTGATTTATTATTTTATTGGGATATTTTCAAATTTATATTCTTACTTATGCTGCGTGTAATACTTTTTTTGGTTGCCTATGCAACTCGTAAATTCAGCCAGTTCTTAGATTATTTGTCTGAACACTATAAGGTTGAAGAGCATTTGCGACTAACGAAAAAAGAAAAACAAGAGTAAGATTTTATTAGTCATCCTAATTTTCTAGTTGTTTATACATTGATAACTGACATTTATCAACTGGTATTTTGTATGATTTAAAACTATTCAATTTTAATTATTTATTAATATTAATATTTTTGAAGTCTCAATAGAAAGTTTATTTTCCGTGTAATTTTTGTGCCAAATAAAAAAAAATTAGTTAAAATGTTAATAAAATATAATTATATGTTAACCAGAAATTTTTTTTTATGACACTTATTTTGTTAATAAGTTAAGAAGAAGAATATAAGATACATAAGTAGGTAATGAATACACCATAAGAAAATTAAAAGTTTTTAATGTTTTAATAAAATATAATCATAATAAATTGTTAAACATTAAAACAAAAAAATGTTTAGAAATTAAGAAAATGCTTCTTGTAAGTTATGGATAAAACATTGAGCCTTCTATGGTATAATTTATTTTATTTATATAATTCAATGAATATTATAATTTTTTAAATTATTTTTGCTTTTATTTTAAAAATTCATTTTTTTTTTTATGTAAAACAGATTTATTGAACCTAAATTGACTATCAAAAATAAAGCATTCAAAATTAAATATAACAGTAATGACAACTCAATCTTTACCAACAAGAGAAATAATGAAGTTATTGCAAGTGCTATGTATGTAAATACATTGCAAATTTTTCATTGATTTTTCTATATTAAAATCTATTTAAATGCTGTATAACTTTTTAATTATAGTTTCAAATCAGGTATATTAAAGTTAAATGTTAAGCTGGCCCAAAAATACTCTTAATTATTTTTATTTTATTAAAATGATTTTTAATAAAATTTAAATAATTTTTTTCTTTTTTAATGAAAACTAAATTTTAATGTATAAATAATAAATTGAAATATTTACAAGTGTTGATATCATTTAATTAAAATAACATCTAGATAACCATAATTTATTTCATTTTTTATAAAAAAATTTTATGTAAATAATTATTCTTATATATTTTTATAATTTATATAAACAATATACAATATGAACAATGGGCTTCACTAGTAGCAACAATTATTTAATATTTTTCAGAGTATATATTTTTGTAATATAACGTTCAATTTGATTTTAACTAAAAAACGGTTTTGTAATTTTATAGTTAAATTTAAGAGCATGTTTTATACTCTGGTTAAAGATTATATTTAAAAGTATATGATATAAATTTATTATATATATAATCAATATTCCTTATGTTGATTCCTAAACAGTATTCTACTTCAGAAACAGTTAAAAAGTTTTAATTTTATTTTTGAATTAATTATTATATTTTGGAATACCAGGAATAATCATTGAATTAATTATTTAAATGTTTTATTGTAGATGCTCTGCAAGATCTCAAAATATAAACCAAGATTTAGATGATATAAAGAAAAATGATAATTCTCATACATTTTTTCATAGTGATCTTAATAATGCACAATCAATGTAAGCCTTTTTTCTTTTTGTACGTTTTAAATTCATGGTTCTACCATTTAAAGATGCTAAAATGTTATCCTTAAAAATATTCTACTATGTTTCATAAATTTAATTTGAGATGTTGATTACCTAGAAATTAATTTGTTATGATAATAAGTAATTTTAATAAATAATTTTTTAAGATGCCAAAAAAATTAATTTATCTTATCTAAAATGTGAATTAAAAGTGTTTTCTAATTTCATAATCTATTATAAGCTAATCACTGTTGATTTATTTAATAATTTCAGTCATGTTGTAAAAACTGGTAATCAAAGCAATGCTGAGAAAAAAGAAATTATTGACCTTTCAGTTGTTAATAATAAGATTGAAGAAAGTACAAAAAAACTTTCACATAATGAGCAAATTGCAAAAAAAATTGTTGTTTCTAATTCTAAGTAATAAATCAAATGATATAAATTAGCTTGTTGTATAATATTCATTTTTTTTTAGTAAAAAAGCTGTCTTGACGGTTCATCAAAATGATATTCAGCATAATGCTATTATATTACCAGCTATTAATGTTGATAAAAAAAATGAAGACATCTTCCTTAATGAGTAAGGGACTTGTTTAAAAAAAATAACATATAATAGATTCTATTTTAAGTTACAATTTAGATGGTGAAAAAATATCTTAATGAAATATTCTTGCATAAAAGAACTCACCACTCCCTTAATACATCACAATTTTACTTAAAACTTTTTTTCATAAAAAATAAATAAAATATGATTAATTTTAATTGCTAAGTGCACAATTTAATAGGTTTCTACACTCAATTTTCAGTTTCATTTAATTTTTTTTTTTAATTTGTAGCAATTTTTGTGTTTATTAAGATCAGTATTGTTACCCGTGTACACTCAATCTCATTGGTAGTCTATTAGTTATTATTTAATTTTAATTTTTAAGAATGTGTAGTAGTCAGTATTTTAAACTTAGTTGAGCTAAATTTAATCACTAAATTAATGACTTAGGGTATTATTTTGAAAACTGGCAAATCGTTTTATATTGGTGGGAATAAAAATGTGACATAACAATTTTTTAGATATTATTTATAATCATTATCTTCTATTAATATTAACCTGTGCGCCAGACCTTTTAAGTTGTGTTTAAGAGGCAATTTTAGTAGATATAACTGATCTATCTCTCAAAACTTTATTTTTTGCTTAACTTAGAATTATGAAAATTAGACTCATGTAAAGGAAATTTTACATGAAATTCAAAAATAAAAAACATCAATGTTGTTTTCTTAATTAATATCTCAAAATCTGTACATACGTAAAAAAACATGCAAACGTTTTAAAAATACTTTCTAACTGATGTTTTTTTTTATAATTCCTTTACTAAATTTTTTTAATAAATGTTTGTATTGTTTAAGATGTGCTGTTAAAATGAACAATCAAGAAAACATAATTAAACCAGAAAATGGCAATTTGGCTTCTGCTTGTAGTATTGAAAGCAACTTGGAACTTACATATAATAAGTAATTATTTAACTAAAAATTCTTAGAGTCTTTATGATATGTGAGTATATCAGTGGCGGCTCATGGATGCTGTTGGTGGGGGTGCGACTTTAAATATAATACCGCTAGTTATTGGTATAAAAAATTGCCAAATTAAGTATAATGAAATATACAATACACATTATTTTAAAGGTCGCAGTAGAATATAGAAATGAAAAATATAATAACAATTATACTATAATAGCAACCGATAACGACGAGCGTACACATAGTTAATTCTAAAAATAAATTACCCAATATAGTAATATACTAATATTTTACTGTATGAACGACGTTGCCAGTTGTCCAAAACCCGTACATAAGATTGTAGAGCTTAACGGTACCTGCACGCACACGATTGTTGCACCTCACAAATAGTATACGTTTCTGCATGTTGTTCGGCTGACATTTCCGGTTGTCTAAAACCTGTACATAAGATTGCAGCTTAACTGTACTTGCACGCTCATGATTAAGCGCCTCGTGTACAACATAAAATTCAAAATATTGTTTGGACGACACTGTTGGTCAATGTCAAAGATTTTATATTAATGTAGGGTATCAACCAAGATTAAGATTTTTCAATTATTACTAATAATAAATATAGTTAAAAAAAACTGAAAAATACACACTTTTAAAGCATATCAAACTAAAAAGTTAAAAATTATTAAGTACATTTGGCAAAATATACAAAAACATAAAAGAGTGACAGACAGTAAAAAAAGGGGGGGGGGCAATGATAATAACTGACTGTTGTAAACGTGGTAAATAATATTTATTTATTTTGTTGTATGAAAACTATAAAACGGTGTGTACCAACTTATTTTAATGAATTTTTCAATGATAAATTATATATTTTTCTTATTAATTTCAATGGCAATAAAATTTCAATTTTTGAAAATGAAAATTTTTTCATGACTATCTTTTAATATAAGAATTTCAGAATTCTTCTGCTCAAATAACACTTGTTTTAAGCTTAGTGCTCTATATTATGCAATGGCCTAGATCATACAAAAATATATTCAAATTCATTTCAATAGACTAGTAATGATAATTATTAAATTTTTACTGGTTGCATTGCCACCGGTATTATAAAACCAAATCAATGATGAATTTTTACTTGACTTCCAAATATTTAAATAATGTGTAAAACGCGCAAACAGTTGATCAGATAAAACATTAGAACAACAATAGTTGTTAGTCATTTTTTTTTTATCATATTGTAAAGTTAAATAGGGGTTCCCATTTAAGAGAATTGTAAATAAGGATTTTTATCACTGAAGGGATTTAATTACATATTATTGTAGAGTTTTTTTTAACCTAATATTTCTTGTTTGTACAAAAATTAAAAATTTCAATAGTTTCTGAGAAAATGAGTGTCTTACCAGATTTTGATCACTTTGTTTATTTATAAATTTAGTAACTACTCTTAGCATTTATCCATTCAAATTTTGTTTTTCAAGGAATTGATATCAAGTTATTTCATTGACTTAAGTAATTTATTAAATACAAGTATATATTAGTTTATTTTAATGTACATAAAATATTCTCTCAACCTGTATCGTAACTACTAATCTGGTTTTTGGCACTGCTCTCAATAAATGTTTGAAATTTGTATTATCTTTAAACAGACCATAGTTATAGAAAATAATTATTTGTATCAAAAAATTTGACCTGGTTAGAGAATTTTATGAAAATTAAATTTTTTAATATTAAATTTATTTAATTTTACCAAAATAAAATATTTTTTTGTTAAATTACTTTAGTTATAATGCCAATGATATAAAAGATGATAAAAGTTCAAAAACAGAAGAAAACATGGTTTTGTCTATTTCTTGTAATAATAATGATTTAACATCCAAAAATGAGTAAGTTTTTTAATTATTATAAAAAAAATTTATTACTGCAGCAATTTAACTATTTATATTGTTATCTTCATGGTATAATGTGGTGTTTCTTGATTTTTCTAAACTATTCATAAAGAAGAAAAGAATCCACAATTGTTATATAGTTAAAAATGTGAATGGTTTTTTTACCATAATAGGTATTATTGCAAGTTATTATTGTAGTATTATAGTATAATAAAAATTGATCACTTGTGGCCAATTAATTAAATAAAATTAAAACTATATTAAAAATATTATTAATTTATATACTAAAAAATATTAAACTCAAAAGCCACAAAAAATTACTGAAAAGTCGAGGATACATATTTCGGAAACAATGTTATTATTATCAACGCTAAATACACACTAGTATGTGTACATAGTATGTTTTTTTTTTGTGTCTGTTACCATTTTTTCTCAACTCTCATGTAACCAATTTCTTTCAATGTTACATCAACATTACCCTCAAAAATTAAAAGAATTTCCCTCGTTCCACGTAAATGGGTAAAAGTCCAAAAAAATTACAATTTTAAAAATCAGTAATTTTCGACATTTTTTCAATTTGTTTTTCTTAAAATTGCCATAACTTTTTTAAAAATGAACAATTTATATTTTTAGAGATATCTTAGTAATTAACTTCGATGTGTAGCTGAGAAGGTATTAATTTTACTATGACGTGTTTTTTTTTATTTTAAAATCAACTCTAAAAGATTAATAAAATAGGTTAAATATGTAATTTTCCTTATTTTTAACATATTAATAATCAAAATCAATATTAATTTAAAACATTTTTTCTTTTTTGTTCTTAATTATTTTTTTATATGTAAATACTTATTTTTTAATAATATTATTAATATTAAAACTTAGAAGTTATGGAAAAAGTTTTTTTAAAAATCGCTAATTTACGACATTTTTAAAATTTTTTTTTCTTAATACTGCCAAACTTTTTTAAAAATGACTAAATCGATATAATTTTTTTTTATAGGTACATGAGGTATTTACCTATCATTTTGTATATTTTTTTTAATAAAATTGACCCTTTAAAATGACAACTTTTTCAACTTAACTTTTGAAAGTGTTCCGGAAATATTGCCACTCTTAATTATAACTTAAAGTTTATGTAATATACTAAATTATGAAAAAAAAAAAAATTCTGGACTTTATTTTGTATTTATGATGAAACTCACACCAAAATTAATAAAAAAAAATACGATTTTTGTAAAAAATTACAATACTAATTTATTTAATATCAATTTCATACTAAATTTAATTACTATGATAAATATTTATTTATATATTACACTTATAAATCATAAAACTTGTAATTAGGATATAAATAAGGAAATAAAAGATCATGTTGCTAGAATAATCTACCAATTTCTTAAAATTAAACACTATCTACAGATTTGCATCAAAGTGTTTTTTATGATAGTAATTTTAATCACTGTCAAATTAAATCTATACTGGACCCAATTATGCCCCGTCCCCACTGTGCTGTGTTTTTTTTGTCGGGACTACCACCTCTAATATTTATATTAAACAAGGGGGACTACAGTGATGGGGTCCTTGATATTTATTAAAGTTATTAAATTTAAATGAGATAAAAACCAAGTGATTTAAAAAATTTTGTAAGGTATTTTAAAACAAAATAAAATACAAAATCGAACATTATAACATAAAAATAGCATACGGTGGTAGACATTTTCACCATGAAGAGAAAATGAAGTTTGAAATTTTTTTTTTCCATTTTAAAGTATATTACGTAATCTTTAATTTAAGATATATATTATATATAAAAGTGTCAGACCTTCCGGAACACTTTCAAAAGTAAATTTTTTGTGAAAAAGTTGTCATTTTAAATCCCCCCTGTGGGTAGGTAAAGAGTCAGATTTATAAAAAAAAATATACCAAATGATAGATAAAGACATCATATATGTATAAAAAAGAAAACTATCTAAAATTAAGTTGAAAAAGTTCTACTTTCTATGTGTAATTTTAAGTTTTGAACCCTCCTGTATAAAGGGCAATGGTCCGGTTTAAAAAAAAGTACGTCAATTGAAAAAGGGTTAGGTTGTTGCCATTTTGAAACTCCTTTGTGGACAGGTAAAGGGTCAAATTTAAAAAAAAAATATACCAAATAATAGGTAAATACCGAATGTATCTACAAAAAAAAAATAGATTTTATTCATTCATTTTTAAAAAAGTTATGACAGTTATAAGTAGAAAAAATTTGTAATTTTTTTTAGAGATTTCACCCATTTATGTGAAACGAGGAAATTTTTTTCAATTATTGAGGGTAATGTCTTCAACAAGATACAATTTGTGATCTTTTGACGTTTTATTGAAAGAAATCGGTTTAATGAGAGCTGAGAAAAAGTGGTAACAAACACAAAAAAAAAAACATCATAGTAAAATTAATACCTTCTCAGCTTCGCATCGAAACTAAAATAAGACAGGTTCTATATAATAAAAGCTTGAGAATATTCAGAAAAGATCCCTCATGTAAAAATATTATATAAGATAAATACAACTTTTTTTGTTTGGAGGGATAGTAAAACATGACATTTGAATTCATTATTGGACAGAATTCTGTTAACTTATCTTATTTAGCTTATTAATTGTTTATCATATAATAATAAATAATTATGTTATTTTCCTAATATGTTTAAAATAAATTACTTTAATGATGAATTTCGTTATTATGCTTGAAAAAAAAATTGATTACCATTTTATTTCAAGTTAACTTTTGCAATTAGATTATTAATATTTGAAAGTATCAGTATTTTGTTATATTTTTATTGTATGCTTCAATTTATATTTTTAGCAGCTCAGAGTCTCAGTGTACTGCTTTTGTAAATCCAAAACGTGAAAGAAGTTCAAAATCTCGAAGCCCTATTCATCTTATTACAAAAACTTTAATGGAAAACTTAAATGGAGAACATAACAAAAAAGTGGAATTAGAATTAAAAACAACGTAAGAATTAAACTATATTATTATTAAATTTGATTCTTATTGAATCAAATTTAACTAATATTAATGATTAATTAATGCTAAGGCAACTTAAGATGATTTTGCTCCTATACCTAATTTTGGATTATTCAATTAGGTTGGCTGGTTCAATTTATGTTAGATAGAAAATTAAGATATTACTTTGGGGTTCTTTGGAAGAGTTTTTATACATAATTAAATACATTTTTCCTAATAGAATACTGTGTGAATGGTATTTAAAAAAATATGATATTATATTAGTTTTTTTATCCAATAACATTTAGGGTTAGATACAAGACAGTAAAATGTTTACCGGTTCCAACTTGAAATTTTGTTTTTTTTTCGTCTGTTCCCACTTTTCTTAGCTCTCACTGAACCTATTTCTTTCAACGATACGTCAAAAGATCACAAATCGTATCTAGTCGAAGACATAACCCTTAAAAATTGAAAAAAATTTCCCTCGTTCCCCGTAAATGGGGAAACATTAAAAAAAATTACAAATTTTAAAATCGCTAATTTTCGAAATTTTTTCTTACTTAAAACTGCCATAACTTTCTTAAAAATGAACAAATTAATATATATATATATATTTTTAAAGATGCTTGATGTTTTTACCTATCATTTGATGTATTTTTTTTTTATAAATCTGACCCTTTACCTGCCACACAGGGGGGAATTTAAAATGAAAATTTTTTCACAAAAAATTTACTTTTTCAACTTAACTTTTGAAAGTGTTCTGGAAAGTCTGACACTTTTATATATAACTTAAATTAAAGCTAATATAATGTACTTTATTATGGAAAAAAAAAATTTCGAACTTTATTTTGTCTTCACAGTGAAAATAGCTACCGAATGCTATTTCTGTGTGAAAATTCTCGATTTTATATTTTTAACTTTTAATACTATAACTTATTGAAAAGTGTATAGATCAATACAATTTTTTTATGAGAAATAATATTTATATCCCTCTTTTATTCTTCATACTTTATCTTAATCAGGATATAAAAAACTGCTATTTTAGTTGTGCTAATACACAAGCTAAATTTATGAATTTTACTTTAAGGATGAAAAAGGTAAAAAGAAAGTATTAAAACTTATCAATTTCAATTATCGTAAATTTTGGACAATTTCTCTCATTAAAGGAAAAGAAAGAAATTTGTTCTAATAATGAGGATACTATCTTTGACAAGATATAAATTATGTTCTCTGTGACTTATTATTGAGACAAATTTGTCATTTAAAGCTGTTAAAAAGTGATGACTGACACACACAAAAAAAAAAAGACATAATAAAATTGCAATACCTTCTCACCTTTGCATAAAAGATTTTAAGATATTTGCATTAAATGTTTTAAATATATATATATTTATATAAAATTAATATATATTTATGTTAAACAAACTCTTAATCATGGTTTTTTTTGCCAAAAATTTTTACTATCAAGTAATTTTATAATTAATATTTATTCTATAACATTAATAATATTAAATAATAACTACAACTATAGCAGTTTCTATTATCAAATATTAATAATGAAATATAAATTTTGCAATTTTTATTAGGTAGTCCCTGGGCACTACAGACACTATCTGTGGATATGCATATGGTGCTCACCTATGAATGTATCAGTAATAGTTATTACAATGTTTTATTTTTCTAGAAATAATTTAAATACACACATAAATGAAGATTTAATAGCTAAATCTCCAGTCAGTTCTGAAATTGGCAATACAAGTGATAAATACTTAGTTGAAAAATTCTCTAACAATCAACAGAGCCACTTAGAAAAGTCAGACAATTTCAAAAGAGGAACAACAAATAACTCATGGTCCAAACGTTGCTGTTCGAGTAGTGGTGGTAGCCCAGAACTTACAAATGGTAAAGACACATTTTATAGAAATGTAAGAGATCATAAAGAATTAGATGTAGAAAAATTAGACAGTTATGGTGGAGGAGGTAATAGACGGCTATTTACGAAAAATGAAAGAAGGTAATATTATTATTGTTTGTATAAATATACTAGTTGTTGACTACAGTGAACACTTGATTAACCAACACTATTTTATCTGACATTCTTTTATTCTTTGTTGTTAAAATAGAAATAAAAAGTTAAAGGAACTGACCGTGTGACATACTAATTACTGTATGACTTATACTGCGAGAGTTTAAAATATGTATAACATATTAAAAGAATGGAAAAAATTCAATGTAAACAATAAATACAACTTTTGTTATGAATGTGTTAAAGCTTTCATGGATTGTCTTGTTGCTTGAAGTGCTTGAGGATATATCCATATTTGCAGTTAAGTTCTGACGTTTCGGACTCAACTACAAACATGGATATATCCTCAAGCACTTCAAGCAATAAATACAACATTAAAAAAACGAGTTTTATTGATTTTTTTTCAATTTTATCAGTTAAAGACAACTAGCCCATGAGTGAAAATTTTTATTACCATTTTTTGTATTAAATATAGCTGTAAAGTAGAAACGTAAAAATTTTAATTTATTTTTTAATGCTTCTTTTTGGTTTTATTTAAACAAAAATTATGAAATTTTATCTGAATTGTACATTATTTTTTACAAACTTTGTCCTATTGTAAACCACATGTTCCATTGTGGACTATCTTTTTTTTTTAATACAAATAAAAAAAATAATTTTAAATTAGAAGCTATTAATCATGTGTTAAAAATAAAATTACTTATATTTAAAAATGTTTTGAAATATGCCATTTTAAAAATTAAACGTTTCATTGTGCCTCCCTCTTTCTTCCCTATTGATGAATATGTAAAAAGTAGTAAAACTAAGAAGCTAGCAAAATATTAGCAATTTGACAATACTATGTATTAATGATAAGTTTTGTGGCATTTAGCTACTAGGTACAAATGATAAAAGACTTAGTGGGAATAGTTTAGTCATTGCTGACTTCATGGAAAATTAAAAATTGAAAGTACTATTTGATATAAAGCTTATTAAAGAGCAAGTTTACAATTGTGATTAAACTGGACTTAATTGGAAAGCTTTATTACAAAAAACATTAGTAACATTTTTGGAAAAAAGAAGATGAAGATGTTAATGACGAGATGAAGATTTAGTTTTTAATCATTTAACTATCCACTCTAAAGCAGTAGCTATGTTAACTAAATGCATTAAATGATAAGAGAAACAAGAAGAGACAATTTCAATGCAGATCTTTCTACTTTTATTTTACTGATCAAAAAATATGAATTTTAAAGAGACAAAAAGAAGAAGAATATTAAAATTTAAATTGTTTTATATTTAAAGTATATTTATATGAACATTTTGTATTGTGATATTTTTGATATTAATTTATCAATAATTCTGTTAATTGCCACAGATTGGGTTCCAGCGGTGTTGGTTAATTAAGTTTTCACTATATTTAAAAGTATAAAATAGTCTTTTTAATTATTTATTTAAGGGGTCACATACATAATGATATAAAAGTGTTGTGTCCAATCTAAGACGTGACACGCTAATTTGTTGGAGTGGTCGGTAGGTTGATGATAAACAAAAGTAATACTTAACTTGACAGTTTATTGCAATAAATATAATTTAATATAATTAAGGATATTACATTTAAAATTGAATAAATTAATAAGGATAGTATTTTAAATAATTATTAACACTTATAGTTTTATTATATGAAAATTCATACTAAATCGGTTCAACGAGTATTGTTGATCACATGTTTATTCGGTGTCCACTTACTAATTATTTCTTAAACTACCCCACTATGTACTAGATTATAATACGGTTTCGTAACAAAAGTATAATTGTTTATTAGATAATATTTTTAAGTTAAAATTTATTTTAAAATATTATTTATTAGATATAGATTTGAAAAATAGTGAAAACTTGTATGTTTCTTACAGTACTGAAGACTTTTTATGATAAATATTAGGATGATAATGAGAAGCTATTTTATTTTTAAAGGAAAGTTTCATCGCTCTTCGTAGTCAATTTTTTTTTTAATTAAAAAAAATAATAAAATTGGGTTCAAATATTCATCAATTTTAAAATGATTACAGTGTAAATGGGAGTAAACCTTGAATTATTTATTCAAACAGAAATAGAATCTTCAATGTTATGGTTGAAGTAGGAAAAATATACAACTAACTGTTGCCTTTAAAACTTATTTGTTAATTTGAATACTTATGTCATATGATTAATATCCTACTATAAGATTGATATAATTTTTTTTTTTTATGAATTAGCAGTTAAATAAAAAATTCATTTTTTTGTTTTAGCATACATTTTATAGATTCTAAAGAAGAAATTTGTAATGTACCAACTTGTTATGCATTGGCTCGTTTTATCACAGCAGATTTTCAAATGACTCCAGATACAACCATTGATTTTCAGTGAGTTAATAATAAATATTTTTTTTATACTTGTTTATTTATTTTATTTGATAATTATAGACAATTTTTAAAAGTTAATTAATTAATTACTATCATGTAGAACCAAGTATGGATGTACCTGGGGTGAATTATTTGACCAAAGTTTAAAGCCAGGCGATGTTGGAGTTGTTGTCAACAACAATCAATACATATTTTTCTTGATTGTTAAAAATAAAAACGATCATCAGAGAATAGAACCTGTTTTTATTGATAATGCTGTGTCAGATTTGGCTAATAAGATGAAGCAACTAAAATTAACAAAATTAGCAGTGTGTGCAATGAGTAATGGATTACAGCGATTTGTTTGGTCAGAGATGAAAAAATACTTTAACAAATACTTTTTTGGCTCAAATATTTCTATTATGGAGTGTTTTATGCCACCTGTATGTATGTTTTATTAGTGTAAAATACTAAAATAGAAATATTATATGGATTTATATAGTAATATTCTATAATTCATATGACTTAAGAACATATTCTAAATTATTAATAATGTAATATTTGGAGTATTGAATTTTTGTTTTTAAGTTTTGTATGTCTCTTAGATTTGGTAAAAAGTGTAAACTTTAAATTTCAAACTCTAGCATCACCCTCTTGACATGTAGTTTATTTGTTACCGTTTGTATGATTTTTATTACCTCTTTATTTTTATTTCGTGATAGCTATGATTACTATTAATTTGTTTAAGTTCTTTCTGGGCTGTAATGAGTTTTTGTTAAATCCACCTCCATACATCACTATAGGCTTTTACCAATGGCGTTCTCAGGGTTTCGTTTTGGGAGGAGATATACAAAGAAATTATTTTACTACCCCTTTCATAACACATTTACCATTTATTGATTTTCATCATAGGGATTCTATTTTCTATTTCCCTCCTTGAGATAAAATTATACCTAAGTATTTTACCTGTTCCTTAAAACTAATTTCTTGTTTATTAAGGGTAAGTTAACCAAGACTAACGGGTCTTGTTTTCATCTCGGTGAACATAAAAATATTTGGTTTGTTTATATTATAACAGAGAGGCCATACTTACTACTTCACTTATATTTAGTACTCTGTTTTTGCTGGTGTTAGATCTCTATTTATGAAATTTACCTATTATTACTACTAGATCAGTCATCTATTTAATGTTATAAACAGCTTTAAGTTTAATTTTATTTATTTGTGAGGCTTGAAAGGGTTAATTCTTTCTGGTAATATCAAATTTTACTTTATATTAGCGACCGGTATTGGTAGATTACTGGTTTCATAAAAAGCAGTTATCAGCTATCTTTTTTTCAGGGAATTCTATAAAGAAAAAAAGACGAGAACTGTTAACCGCTTAGTACCGGTTATTTTTTTTTGGTTATCAGTAATTAATTTTATTTTTTCATTTTTTACGCCTAATGTCATAATTGTCTTTTTTTTTCTATGCAACCCCTTAATTTTTTTTTAATGATCAAAAAAATGAGCTGTGCAAAATTTGAGACCGATCCATTGAGGTTAATCTGTGCCCCCAGGCCTATTAAGTTGAAGAGGCAAATTTCATAGAAATAACTGATATACGTCTCATAACTTTTATTTTGCTTAACTTAGAATTAAAGAAGTAAAACTAAAATAAAGGAAATTTTACAAGAAATTCAAAAATAATAACTTCAATGTTGTTTTCTTGCTAAAAAGCTCACAAAAACACTACATACAGTAAAAAATATGCAAAAGTCTTAAAATTAGAGAAAAATGTAGAGTTTAAAATTTTCTTTATTTAAATCATTCCAAATCTGCTGAAATCGCTTGAAAATTGATATGCCTTTACCAGTAGAACAACTTAAAATTGCTTCCGAGTATAGTTTCAAATATATAGCGACGGAAAGGTAAATAAAGTAATTCTTTTTCTAAAATTTGTTCCAACAAAACACAAGTACCTCCTAAATTACCACTATTTACAGCAGTTTTATCAAAAGATAACCCTTCACTGATTTATTTATGTTTCATTGGACTAAAGTTTCATATAGCTATTATAGCTATATGAAACTCAAACATTATGTTTGATTTTTAGACAAAATGTAATAATACAATACATTTTGTTAGGTTTGTAATTAATAATTTATTAACTGTCCATAAAATAATAAATCTAGTATAATTATCATACTTGGCATAAAAAATTAAATTTTTAGATTTTTTTTTTTAAACGAAAAACCGTTTTCCAAAGAATAAAATGAAAATAAATAAGAAAAAATAAACAAAATCAGTTATAATGTAATTTTAAGACTTTTACATGTTTTTTACTGTATGTAGTGTTTTTGTGAGCTATTTATCAAGAAAACAACATTGAAGTTATTATTTTTGAATTTCTTGTAAAATTTCCTTTATTTCAGTTTTACTTCCATAATTCTAAGTTAAACAAAAAAAAAGTTATGAGACGTAGATCAGTTATTGCTATGAAATTTACCTCTTCAACTTAATAGGCCTGGGGGCACGGATTAACCTCAACGGATCGGTCTCAAATTTTGCACAGCTCATTTTTTTGATCATTAAAAAAAAATTAAGGGGTTGCGTAAAAAAAAGACATTCAATTTTTGAGGGCCTCCCTAGTATATATAGAGTGATTGATTTATTATTGACCACGGAATTTTTTGATCACTAAATTAATTTTCATTCAAATCTTTAAATAATTTTAAAACTTTTAAACCAATATTTCGAAAATTATTAACATTTTTAAATGTAGATTGGAGGTAAAGTGTGGGTTATGTTATTTTATCATTATATATGCACTCTACTAGGTATATAAATAATCATAACTCCTAAATTATTATTTCAAAAGTTTTTTTATTAGAGTTCAGGATTAACATGGTTTGAACCTTAATTCATTATGAAAATATATTTAAAACACATCATATTAAACAAATAACAAAAAAAAAATGAAGTTGTAAAAATGTGTTATTAATTCAATTTAACCTTATTGAAATCAAATTAAATTTTTTTAATATTCAACCACTTCTGGTGCTGCATTAGGGTTGAAATATGGCACTCGAGGGTAGTTTTTGTTTTTTTTGTGTTAAACTCGACAACTATTACACTTAGCAAAATATAATATGAGTTTTTGTAGGAAATATTACTAAAACCAATTTTAAAGGAAAAATTTGATGAAACTTCAACCACTCATTAAAAATATTAAAATATTTAAAAAAATATATTTATGTTAAATTTTGAAAAAAATTTTTATGTTATGTTATTTTTCTCAAAATATAATGAATTTATGAAAAATATTGTTATTAACTTTTTTGTAGACAATAATAAGTTCTATAATTAATGTTCTATACATTTTAGCGCTAAGTGTAATAGTTGTTGAATTAAACACAAAAAAAGCAAAAACTACCCTCAAGTGCCATATTTCAACCCTAATGCGACACAGAAGGGGTTAAATAAAAACTTCCAAATTTTACCTGCATTACTTTTTAATAGTATTAAACTAATCTAGAAAGTACTGTCTTAAAAAAATTGAGTTTGAAAAATAAAGACCACCTTAGTATACACAGTACCTTCGCACTTGGTTTAAGTAAAAAAATAAATAAAGACGAAAGATATATTTTTGTTGAAGTAGGTCCAACTTAGTTAAGTAGGTTTAATGAATTATTAATTTAAATATTTTTGTGATATAATACAAACTTAATTTAAATTAAATTAATTTTAAATAATATTAGCCACAAGTAATAAAATTTATTACATAATTACATATACTTATAATTTAGTTCAATATACTTTATTAATTTTTAATTAAATATTTATATAATTTTAGAAAAATGAAATGAAACCATTACCTGTAGTAAATAGAACTTATACAAATCTATGGGATATGGAAAAACAGACTGATATCATTATGTTTATCAACATAGAAGAAATTTATAATGAAGATTGGAATGATCAAGTAGTAGAAAAAATTGATGCTAAATATCCATTTAAAGAAAAGTAAACTATTTATTTCTTTTTAAATAATCAGCTTTATTTAGAAATCAGTTTATGTTGTATATAAGTAACAGTTGATTCATTAACATCAGTTTAGAGTATTGTTTGTTTTGCTCTTTGCTTTCAATAGATAATTCTAATTTATTATTCTGTTAGTGGCTAGTTATATATTGTAGGGTATAGTAAAACTAAGCAAAATTAATATTTTGATTATACATGACCACTATAAAACTTCTTAATAGCTCTCTTTAAAAAATTCACAGAATCTTAGATTTAAGCTTATGTCTATCAAGTGATATTTTTTGGTATATGAAGAATAATATATTTATAATAAGCATGCCGATGTACAATAGTCTTGTATAAATTACTTTATTATTTATTACCGAGTATTATTGGAGTTTTTTTTTTTTTTGTAATCAATAAATCTAAATCTTAGAAATTTCCTGAAATTCTACGCCAACAATTTTTGCTTTGTCTAATGAATATAAATATTGCATAATAATTATAAATATTATGTAAAATAATAAATATTAAGTAAAATTCTAACTTTTTCCTAAGTGTAAAAAATAAGCAATTTTATGATTTTTATATGTTACCACCCAGTGTTGTTGTGTGAAACATAAATGAGAATAATAAAATTATGGAAAAAGAAAGCATAAACATACACACAGCATATCAGATATATATACCTATACACAGCAAACCTATTATGTTCAGATAGTTTGATAGAACTACTATTTTAATAATAGTTTTGAAAATGGATCTGAATTCAGCATTGTATGTATCAATTGAGAACTAGTCAGGCCACTTGAAATTTTCATTCCTTTAAAGTTAGTTTAAAAATATAACTGTACTTGGAGCTTAAAGAAATCAAAATTTCAAAAAATGGCCTGACCAATCCTCAATTGAAACAATACTGAATTTAAAATTCTTATTGCGTTAGTAAATCTGCCATACTAGTAGAATGAAAACGGGTTACTAATGACCAAAAGATTGTCTATATCTTAAATATACAGGTGTCCAAGCCTGTTCTAACAAATCCTACAACTTTATATCCTCGGAATATTTCTGTTTCTTTTTTTTTAAAAGCTTATTAGTTTATAGGATAGTAATAGTATAATAATATACTTAACATTTTTTAATTACAAGAAATGTTTAAAAAAAATTGAACTTTTTGTGTTAATATTATGATATTAAATGTTGGTCTAATAGTATGATTGAAAAATTACAAATTTCATCTTAAAATCATACTTAAAAACCTTTGCTATCTTAATGATGACCTTGTTGATATTTTTATATTTATAAAATTACATGTTTGTTTACGTGTCTATTATAATTTAATTTTTTTGATAATTATTTGAAAAAATTAGAATTTTTAAATTATGATTCATAACATTACTTATTTAAATATTGTCCAGATACAAAAGATATTGTTCAAAAGTAATTAAATTTTTTACTAATTGGGGACAATATGTTACAGAGTGAATTTCATTACTTGATAGGGTCAAGTGGAGTAAATGGAAATGAAATTTACATGTTTTACAACTTTTATTAGATTCATATAGTAATAATTTGTTTTAATTTTGGTTTAGATAAAAACTATTTAACTATATACAATATGTGTCTAACATTTCAATCAAATGTTAAAATAGTTGATTATTTTAAGAGAAAAGAATAATGTAAAATTGCATAAAAAATTTACATTTGCCCCATACTTCTGGGGTAAATGAAAATAACTATTTCCAACAGCAAGTGTTATATTGAACAAACATAATGGGCAAATGAAATTGTTCTGTTATAGCTATCATTATATTATTTCATATATTCGATACCTACAAATTTCCATTTGTCCCAAATAGTATATTGTGTATGGGGTAAATGAAAATTAAAGTATAGTTGATAATGTTATAAGCCTGGGGCAAATGAAAATTTGTTTGAATTACATAAATTACAATTAAATTAGTCAAATAATTAGGTAATCTTTATTATTTTAACATAATTTAGTACAGTTTAATGCTTACTTAATATTTCATAAACTTTCAAAATATATTAACAGTCTTTTGTTTTCATATAATAGTGATAATAATAATTTAACATAAAAAATAACAATGTAAAGTAAAAATTATACTAATATAATAATTAATATTATTATATTAAATTATAAACAAAATAACAAACTAACAGCATTTTTAGTTTTAAAATATATCACATAAATTAATGTATGAATAAGTAGGTAACATAGTGCCTAAACTGATTATTTTTCATCGACATTTATGTATCCAGGAAATGTGTATTCACTTTTCTGTTCTTCTTATGTTCAGTTGGTATTGGTAATATTGCAAAAATCATCTCGACTGTAATATCTGACAAGTCATTTTCAACAATATAAAAATCAGTTCCAATTTCATTATTTTTTTTTATTCCTCGGACTAAAATATCCCCATCATCTTCATCTACACGCTTAACTAAACATACATACTTAAAATGTTGTTTCTTACGGTTCCCTCCAATAAAATCTATTAAAAGAAATACTCCAGGTTTTATTTGAGACCAAATTGGTGTATTATATAAAACTTCTTCAATACTTAAATCTAATGAATTGTCATTACAATCATCTTCTGATGAATGATAAACTACATCTTCAATATTATCAATTGATTGTTCCAACACAATATTTTGTGCATCTTTAATAGCTTTCTTAGGTCTCCCAAGTTTACTAGGATATTTGATTAGCTTTTACTTTGAAGTTGCTTCCTCCAACTNTTACTTTGAGGTTGCTTCCTCCAACTATTTTAACACATTTTTATTTGTTAAAACTTCACCATACTTTGTTACTCTAAAACGAGGAACTTGGTCTTTTGTAACACAAATTGTATTGTTAGTTTTATATTGTATTAATTGAATTGAAAAAATAGATATTATATCTTTTGGGCTTATTGAGATATTATTACTTGATGTTGGAAAAATTTAGTCCATAAAAGTGTTTGACGTTAAAGGTTCTAATGAAATTTAATTTTCTACAACTGTTAATATGTTTTTTTGATATAATTACGCACTCTGAAGTTGAAAAAAAAATGATAAAGATCGCAATTTTTCAAATTATATTTGTTATTAATATTTCCATTTACCCCAATTGATTTTTATTTTATATTTTACAAAAAAAATATAATTCCATAAAAAAGTGATATTAAACTAGTTTTAGGGCCGTATAGTAAATAAGTAAATATGAAATGACAATTTAGTTCAAACTGTACTGTTCTACTTATATTTTTGATGAAGATGCCCTTCTCAAAAGCCGTTGAGCAGAAAATATAATCTAAAATAATCATAAACACTTTTTCGAGTGATGCTAATTTGTACATATCCTCATATTTTCCATATTTTTATCATTGCACACTATTATACCTTATGTGTACTGTGGTTACAATGATATCGAATTCTATAATCACTAATAATTTATTTTAAATAATATTTTTTTCCTTTTGCCCCAATTTCCATTTACGCCACTTGACCCTACTAATTTTGATATTTTTTTGTTTCAGACTTTTGAATGATATAAATATTAAACCAATGGCATCTGGTGATGTATTGATGTATAAAATCAATGGAGAAGTATTACTTTGTATATTTGTTAATTCTTTTGGTCAACACAAAGATCGTTATAAGTGTTTAGAAAAATCATTCAACAAAATAAAATCAATGTTGAATGGCTATAGATTCTTCGGTATTCAACAAAATTTAAAGGTATCTGATAGTGAATCTGAAGATATATGGCGAAAAGTATTTCTGCTACGTTCTGTTTTTACTAAACAAAGTGGTGAAATTTGGATGTGCGGTGATACTAATGCTCATAAATTAATGCAATATGAAGAATATAAAAAAACTGTTAATGACGCCATGAATGACTCATCAACCAGTAAATCTACCAGTAATGGATATAATTCACCTAAGTTTGGAAATTTCAGAAGTCCATCACGTTTTGATGGCAAGAGAAGTGGTGAACTAATCAGTACACCTAGATCAGAAAGTTTATCTCGCTTTGAAAACAGAAGAAAAGGTGGAAATGATGTATCTAGATTTGATAGTGCAAACTTAGTACGTCGCAGTAATAGTCAATCATCAATGATTTCTAAATTTAATAAAGCTAACAATAAACTATCAGCCTCTAATAACAATACAATTGGCATGACCTTAAACAACAAGAACTTGAACAACAGTTATAGCATGAGCAGCAATGACTACTTGGGTAATTTAAAATCTAAAGTATATTAATGTATTTTTTTACATACAAGTGTGTATTTATATATATCTTTTGTATGTTTTTTCTTAACTCTTGTCTATATGTTTATATGAATCAATATTTAATTTGCTACAAAACTATTGTAAGAATAAGGTAATTTAGGCTGATGTTCCAATTGCCAAGGTGATCTAAACTTCGCCTTAGTATTATGTATGAATAAGACAAATAAGGTTGGTTTTGAGCGTCTTTATATGATTTCAGCTCTGCTTCAATGTTCAAAAATTCTAGATTCATCTTGTATCTGTATTTTATTCCATAATTGTTTTTTACATCCTATTTTCTTTTCTAGTCAAAAAATTAACAAAGCAGAAGAAGCGAGCAAATAAATATTAAAGTAACTTGTGGAAAGTGTGTAATATACTAACATTTATCCTATTATCTTTTGTCTTATATTCCATTTTCCATATTACTCCTTGTAAGTTTATTTAATGTTTAATTTTATTTAATATGGATACACACATTTTTTATTTAATATAAAATACTTTTACTTTCAGAAAATTGGGAATAGTAAAAAAAAATCTGACAGATACAAAAAAATTATTGTTATTTTCTTTTTTTTTTAAATTTAAAATATTATGAAAAACTTATGGTTAATTGTTATGCATAACATCTTAATTTTACTATTGTTTTTGGTTGTTAAACAAAGCTATTGATAATTATTTACTATATATAGTTTCAAAGTATATTTTATTACTTGACAACCTGTACTTCTTAATCATAATTAAAAAAAATTGTATTCTTTTATTAGATGTCATTAGCAAGTAGCAATGATTTTTTGTTAAGTTGTGTTATTACTAATATATTTTTACACTAATATAAAAATCTAAGTGATTTGTGTGAGGTACAAATTTTAATCAAATTAGTATTAACTAGTAAAATAATGTTAATGATTTTTATAAAAATTAAGATAATTTTAAATAAAGAATTATAAATCACTGCTTATTTATCATATTATACAAGAAAAATTTTAAGTGATTATTTATTTAAATGTTTTTGGAATTTAATTAAAAAAGAAAGTGTGGTAATGAGTAATCTATAAAATGTTTAATTTTACTATTGTTTAATATTTGTATCAATTAAGATGTTTTTAATGTTGTAAAGTACTATTTTTGTTGACAAATTCAGATAAAATTTTCAATTAATATAAAACATGTATTTTTAATTTCATAAAATAAAAAATATATATTTATACTAGATTTCGCCTAGCTGGGACTCCGCCTCAGAACTGGGGTCCTAAGATCTTCACACGCCTTCGGGCCGTAATCCTCTTTCGGCTTACAAGTAGACCACTGCTTCTGGTTGGAGTACCCGTTTATGCTGTACACGATAAGTATTATGAAGGAAAAATAATATCAAAATCAATGCTTAATATTATAGAATAATTATAAGAAATTCGACAGGTTATTCCTAGAACTATGTAAAAAAGTCAATTTTGATTATTGTGATTTGACGTTGTGCAGCATAGTTGGGTTCCAATTTTTAGGAATAACTCATAGACTTATACATCATATATGAGTTAAATAAGATTATCAATAGACTGAACTGTCCTGATAATATATGTACAAACTTATATACTTATAACTGCTGATGTTTATGTATAACTTATCGAACATTCATTCATAACAAATAACAACAAATTTTGTATTATAAACTTATTTAAAAGAAATCGATAGAAAATATTTCTATGTTTGTTTAATAAACCAAACATGTAATATATAAACAACTAACATAATATCAGAAAAAATATAGTTAATAATCTACCTAATCAATGCACACATGACAACTATAACGTATTAAATATAAATAGAAGAGAAAAATTAAATAACCTTAAAAAATCATCTACAAGTTCAGGCTCAAAGTTATAAATGTGTAAGAATGAGCCGATACACTTATTCAAAACATGCGCACGAGCGTTTTTCTCAAAAACTGTCGAAATTTTAAAACGCTCCCGAACAAGCGGCAAAAATTTCCCGACCTTCGTCAATAATTTTCCAGTGACCGAGTACTTTCTTGTAGGAGTATACGACAACGCCGTGCATGATAATACATAAATAGTATTACTTCAGAAACAGATAACCTGAAAAATAATCCCACGTGTAAATTAAATAATAATTAAAAAAAACCAGCAAAGTGGGAGTGCGGCCCAGTGGGGCGTGGCATAGTTGGGTCCAGTATAGATTTAATTTGACAGTGATTAAAATCACAATCATAAGAAACGTTTCGATGCAAATCTGCAGATAATATTTAATTATAAGAAATTGGTGAATAATTAAAAAAGCAACATCAACTATTTCCTTAATTATATCCAGATTAGTAATTCTTAGATTCAAAAATATAATATAAAATTATATATTACATAATTGTTACATTAAATTATTTTCAAATTATTATTGATATTGATTTTTAATATGTTAAAAGTAATAATTTTTAACCTTCTTTATTTCGTCCTTTTAAGTGAAAGTTTATAATAAAAAAAAATGAATTTATTATCATAACTTTTAGCTCAATTTGCAAGTTTGTAATTGACATTATTAGTTAGAAAAAATGAAATTGTTAAGGTTAATATGCAGTCAGGAAATTTTATAATTACTATATACAGTAAATTTATCAGAAAAGTTCGATTTTTTTTTACATTTTTATCTTAATAGACCACTTAAATAAAAATCATAGCAATAATTTCTAATTAACTTTAGGTGTTTAAAAAGATTCTATAATGAAAATATTCAGAACTTAATTAATTTTAATGATTTACTTTAACTAAAAAAAACCAATGAAAAAAAGTTGTTCATAAGATCTACTCAATCGAGCGAATTATAAATTTTAATTATACAAGTAATTGTAAAAATCCATTGTTAAATTCAGGTGAAACTAATACTCATTTTTTTTTTTTTATTTATGATTTATATAGCAACATGTTACAAAAAAATTCGGATTATTATAGAGTGGTAGTAGCACACACAAATAGAGTTAAAAAATGAATAAATTACAAAGTAAAATGATTTACTTTTGTAGTTGAATACTTTTATCATATTAAATCTAATTCGACAATAAATACTTTAAAAATATTAAAAAAATAATGATTTTAATTGTTTGTATGGAAAAAGCTAGTTAAGCTACTTTTTATTTGATTAAGGGATTTTTTTTCATTCTTTGAGGGTAATATCTTCAACTACATACGAATTGTAATCATTTGACGTATCGTTGAAAAAAGTAGGTTAAGTGAGGGTTGGAAAAATAAATTGCGGCCTCAAAAAAAACACATAATAAAATAATATTAACATGAATAAAAAATTTCTTATTGCGAGGGGAGACTCAGGGCCGGATTTGACGGAGGGTTTTAAGGGCACTTGCCCCGGGCAGCAGATGTTTGGGGGCATCCGGATGCCGAATACTATAAAAAAAAATTTTAAACTTTTTAACCCTCGGCTTATGAAAAAATCAACTTTAAAAAGTAAATATTATTTTGTATTTATATAATTTGGTCTGCAAAATTAATACCGATATACGTCACATGATAACGACATTGGGGCATACTGCAAATACAATATAATACTTTAGTAAATTGGTATACGTTCGAGTAATTATGTCATTTATTATTAAACAGCGTGGTGGTAGTGCCCAGAAACCCCGGGTTTGATAAGACGTGACTTTGACTTCTACGAATCGCGATACCATATTATAATAGCGATTAGCGCAGGCCGTCCGTCGTTGTATTATTTTATTTTCACGTATCTTGGTTATCCTTTTTATTATAAACATCTGAGTACCTATCAAAGTTGGAATAAAGGAATAAACACACTACAAACAGCTAATTCAAGCGTTCAGTGTCCAGTTATCGAACTACTGCGTTTTGCATACATGTGTGTTAAGTTTCGTGTAATCGTGTGCGTAATTTTGATCGGTTTTAGCTTCGATGCGAAGCTGAGATGGTATTAATTTTACTATGATGTGTTTTTTTTTTGTGTCTGTTACCACTTTTTCTCAGCTCTCACCGAACCGATTTCTTTCAATGATACGTCAAAAGATCACAAATCGTATCTAGTTGAAGACATTACCCTTAAAAATTGAAAAAAATTCCCTCGTTCCCCGCAAATGGGGGAAATATCCAAAAAAATTACAAATTTAGAAATCGCTAATTTTCGAAATTTTTTCACTTTTTTTTCTTAAAACTTCCATAACTTTTTGAAAAATCAACAAATCAACATAATTTTTTTTTATACTAAAACCTTAGATATTTACCTTTCATTTGATATCATTTTTTTGAAAATCTATCACTTAACCTGCTCATTGGGGGGGATTTAAAATGGCAACTTTTTTACAAAAATTAATTTTTTCAACTTAATTTTTGAAAATGTTCCGGAAAGACTGCGTCCTTTAAACATATATCAAATTAAAGCTTATTTTATGTACTACAAAATGAAAAAAAAAAATTTGTCCCGACACTTTTTTTTCTACATTTAAACGGCTGCCGTAGTTAAAAAAACACTATTTTTGTGTTAAAATTTTCGATTTTCGATTTTAAATTTTCAACTTAAAAATGCTATAACTTTTTGAAAAATGTATATATCAGCACAAATTTTTTTTTTCTAAATACATTATAAGTACATCTTTCATTTGACATACTTTTTATTAAAATTGGACAATTTCCCCTTATATAGGGGGCGTTCAAAACTTAAAATATTGTAAAAAACATAGATCTTTTTCAACTGAACTTTTGAAAATGTTCCGGAAATACTGCGTCCTTTAAACATATATCAAATCAAAGGTTATGTTATATACTATCAAATGAAAAAAAAAAATTTGTCCCGACATCTTATCTTCTATGTGCAAATGGCTGTCGAAAATTTAAAAAAAAATGTAATGTTTGCGATAAAAATTACATTTTATCGGGATGTTTTTTGTACTTAAAACTGCCATAACTTTTTCAAAAATGAACAAATAAAAATAATATTTTTTTGTATTGAAACCTTAGATATTTCCCTTTCATTTGATATAATTTTTTTTGAAAATCTAACACTTATTCTGCTCACTGGGAGGATTTAAAATAGTAACTTTTTTACAAAAAATAACTTTTTCAACTTAATTTTTGAAAATGTTCCGGAAATACTGCGTCCTTTAAACATATATAAAATTAAAGCTTATTTTATGTACTACAAAATGAAAAAAAAAAATTTGTCCCGACGATCTATCTTCTATACGCAAATGGCTACCATATTGAAAAATATACTATTTTTGTATGATAATTATGGGTTTTGTATTTTATTTTAATAGAAGTTGATGTTGCTTTTGCAATTATCCATCAATTTTTTAAAATTAAACACTATCTACAGATTTGCATCGAAGCGTTTCTTATGATAGTGATTTTAATCACTGTCAGATTAAATCTATACTGGACCCTACTATGCAATGTCTCTACTATGCCGCGACCCCACTGTGCTACCGTTTTTTTTTTTGTTATCTTTAGTTACACATTATTCTCAAATTATTAACTATGTAATACTTTTTAACTTCATCCCTTATGCCTTGTAAGGGGGTCAACTTTGTTTTTTTAAATGGAAACATATTTTTAATTTAATAAAATGTTTGAGTTATTAATTTAATAGTAGATGCCATTATAATTTTTAAGATAACTTTATTCGTTTATTATATATAAACATGTTTCAAATTTTTTAGTTAATATACATGTATGATTTTTAAGACATAGCTGTCATAGTCACGGATTGTTTATTTTCAATTATGACTATCAATAGATATACTTTTTTATTGTTAGTTAGTGTATTTATAAACTCACAACAATGTGCCTTACCACCATTGATAATAACAATGCTGTGTGCCTGCTAATATCGATGTCATAAAAAACCAATTAGCTACCTGTATTTGTAATGTCTTGTGTATTATACATGTATATTAAATAAAAAAATTGAAACTTTAAATGTTTATATATAATTTATATACCAAATTTATAAAAATATATTTTTATTTAACATTTTTGTTTTAAATAATTTAAATTGTACTATTTACTACCTACTGCCAATAAAAATTTTAAAGTATTAAATTAAATTTAACTTTTATTATAATTTATAACTAATGTAGCTGCTATGGAGGTTGAATTTAAAAATTTTAATAAATTAAATTGTAAGATTATTATATTTATTTTTACTCTTCAAATTATGAAGGTTTAATAAATTTATGTAAT